AGATAGAAAACAACCTTAAAAAAGTACTGATTTCTCTTTCCCGGAATCGCTGGAATTTATGCATAGCGATAAGTCTCTCACAATTGATCTGATACCATGTGAGAAGGCACGGGAGAAAATATATTATTGATATTGGATGAACAATACAATACAAGAGGTCCTTATTTATAGCTATACTATACAAGGACATACTACTCCTCTACCAATGTGGGACAATACTACACTATATACATGCTGTAAACTAACAGTTTTACTATCACTGCTATTTGAACTCCTCAATAAGACTACAATGCTGGATTATCCCAGGCTACCCTGTTTCAGCCAATCTAGTCTAGCATAAGAAACACTATGCTAAACCTTTACCCAAAAAGAAAGAAAAAAATAAACATTATGCTAAGACGTAAAAGCTTCTGGGATATGAGAATGTTTAGCCCAAAAAGGAACTGAAAGACTAATTACAGATATGAACGTCACAAATCTTCAAGATACACAGGGTAAAAGCATGGTTTTGTTGTTACAAAGTTCTATCAAAATCGAGTCTTTTATGCAGAGCCTACTCTTTTTTGAGGTCAGCTCTGCATAGAGTACATGTACCGTCTAAGTTTGTGCAAACCCAAACCTAACTTGACTGTGATTAAGTGTTGGACCTCTACATATCTAAGCATATTATTTCCACTACTTGTATAAGATCTACAAGTGGAAAGAGGTTAACTGTTTTTGACTATTTTTGCAGATATAGATCTTTCTGTTGGCAGGCCTGGGGAACAATCTGTTCATAAGGTTTTCGTTGACCCTGGAGGGAGTCACTGTATTGCCACTGTTATTGGCAGTAGTGGTACCGATACATATTATACTCATGCTAAATGGACAAAGCCTCGAATTTTAAGCAAATTAAAAGGTCTTGTTGTCAATGCTGTTGCCTGGAATAGACAGCATATAACAGAAGGTAGTCATCATGGTATCACCTTGTGTTTTCGTACAAGATTTTGACGATTTACAGAAATTTCAGAATGGTTGTGGTTTTCTTTTCTTCTTTTTAATTGTGGATGATGGTTTCAGCTTCAACTAGAGAAATCATTATGGGCACGGACAATGGCCAACTTTGTGAGATGGCTGTAGATGTAAAGGATAAAATGGAGAAGTACGTAAAGTTACTGTTTGAACTTAAAGAACTACCTGAGGCTTTCACCGGTTTGCAGGTTCAGTACTTTGTAGTTTCTTTCTTCCTTATTTTCATTCCTTTAACTTCTTCCTCCAAAAAGGAGAAAGCATCCTCCAACTGGCTTACCTGTTTCCTTTTTACTCCCTTCTTAATTTGATCATGTACTTCCTACCATTTCATACCGAGATGATGTTAATGAAAGCCTGCTTTCCTTTCATCTCCTTGTAGATGGAAACAGCAAATGTGCACAATGGTACCAGATTTTATGTGATGGCTGTTACACCTACTCGACTTTATTCGTTCACAGGGATTGGCTCGCTTGAAGTAAGTTTGTATCTAGCAGTAATCATTTCCACATCTTAACTGGCTCCTTGCCCTCAACATCTAACAAGCTACTTCCTTCCTTTTCTTTTCACTTTCTCTTTACCTGCGCGTGTTGCTGCCGAAATACCCAAGATAGCTTCTTTCTTAATTAAGTTTCGGGTTTGTCTATGTTTCTGCGCAATTTTCACAGTTATTATGTAGAATATCTTATATGTGTGATTGGAGTTCTGACTGGTATGGGAGTTCATCCTTGAAATCTGTATCAAGTATTCTAGCTATCCATACTGACGAATTGTACTTCTTTAGTTTGGAAATTTGAAATTATTGGGCTCTTTTATCTTGGGTACACTGTGCTACTGTTGCTGGCTTCCTTGACTTCTTTGAACACTTAAACTTGGTACGCTTTACTAACTTACTTGTGGTCTTCCTTTTCCTTCTTTATCAGTACATAGAATCTTGTTTATTGTTGAAGAAATTTTGAACACAATGTAGGACTTAGTTTTATTTGTTCCCAACTACTTTGCAGGATCAATTTGTACAAAAGCTGTTGATCTATTCCTTTGTCAGCTTTTCCTGTATACTTTATCGGCTGTAATATCTTGGGCTAGTATATTATCTCCATCAGTGCCTATATACACCAGCCCAATGATGAAAATTGTTAACATTTTGTACACCTTTTGTGCCTTAACTCTCATTTGAGATACTGTTTGTTGGAGACTCTTTCCTGTTATTATTGTAATAAAGTTTTGCTAGTTCATTGGCATTTTGTGATCATAAAATGATTAATAAATTTCAATTGAATTGATGCATTGTGGCTTGCGTAGGCTGTTTTTGCAAGCTATGTGGACCGTACAGTTCATTTCATGGAACTTCCTGGTGAAATACCTAACAGGCAAGTTCTTTACTTATGATATTGTCAAAAATTGCAAGGAAAGGAAGTCTTTAACTTAAGCTTTTAGATGATCTAGAACCACATAATTCTACATGGCACTAAAGAAGATATTAGAAGAAAGAAAATAAACACTTCCACGCGGTTGTGCTAAGTGAGGAATCCGGCCACCATCAAAGGGGCCTACAGTTTAGGAAGAGACGTTTGTGGCTTCTCAACATGTGCAAAGTGAAGCATTTTGCCAACCAGTTGAACAAATTGTCGCGAAGTCTGGGAGGAAAATGAAAAAGAGGCACCTTTCAGTCGGGGAACCATTTTATGCCTTCCAAAAACTTCATTTTACTGTTCATACTAGAACTGACTTCATATATCAAAAACATTTTGGTGCACAATCATGTTTTAATAGATACCTTCTCGTTGCATTCAAATATTTGCCACTTCAAGAGAATGATTGACCGAACATTGCAAGTGATTTATGGAGGGGTTTGGATTTGGTTGATCAGGCATTTTTTTCTTGAAATGGTAATAATTTTTGGTTGATCAGGCATATGGAGGGGTTTGGATTTGGTTGATCAGGCATTTTTTTTTCTTGAAATGGTAATAATTTTTGGTTGATCAGACATATGTCAAGAGCTTGATACTTTGTCTTGGCATGGATTGACAAATATTCTCACCTGTGTTCCATCTGCACTTACACTTACTCTCCTTCACAGCGAATAATGTTCCATCGTCATCATTGGTTATAGCTGTCACAACTTTCATCGTCTGTGAAGACACTTTTAAGCTTGCACCATATTAGAGTTGCTATCTTTTTATGTATTTGTTCATTTGCAAGTACTTGCAGAAAAGGAAATCTGTTCATTTGCAAGTGATGTTTGAGTAATCGAATTCTCTTTTTTCAGTGAACTGCACTTTTTTATCAAGCAAAGGAGGGCTGTACACTTCGCATGGCTTTCTGGAGCAGGAATCTACCATGGTGACCTAAAATTTGGAGTGCAACATAGGTTGATCTAACCCCTGTTGCTTATTCTTTTACTTTTTTGCTTTGTTGCAATCCTTTTTCTCATCTCCTGTCCTTATAATATATAATATTCGTTTTTCCTTATCAAAAAATATATACTATTCGTTTTAAGCCAAGAAAGAAAACTATTTGTTTACATCTTGGTTACGTTCAATTTCCTTTTTAAACTCCACAGTTCTATACTTAAATCACTTTGTTTTTTGATGTTTTCTACAATTGTTGAAAACCTCATGTGTAGTTCGCCAAACGGGGATGAAAACTTTGTGGAAAACAAAGCTCTTCTAGACTACTCTAAATTCTCTGAAGGAGTTGAAGGTGTCAAACCTAGCTCTCTGGCTGTATCCGAGTTTCATTTCCTACTTCTCATAGGTAACAAGGTTAAGGTGTGTTAATGGTATTTCCATGACTTTGTTCTTTTATCTACCTTTTAATATATCAAATTCGTTTTATCAGTTTTTAAAGTTGGAATTATGGTACATGCATGCCTTTGTCTCTATGTAATATATACCTTGGGCTTTATAAGGAGAAGTAAGATATATCTAGGCCTTTTTCTTTGCTCAAATGAAAGACAAGAATTGTATGAAATTTTTTCTTAGGTTGTATATGGCGTAATTGCCTACCTTAAAAAGGAACCTGTAACTTAAATGGTTTGGAAGCAATAATTTGAGTTATGCTTATATTCTTCCACTTCATCACTTTGGATATTCTTTAGCGTGCATCAAATCATATATGTGTCAGCCTTGTTCTGACGTAAATTTTAGCTGCTTCGTCACGAAGCTTCGATGCTTCATGACTTCATGATATGAAACAAATATTGGTTTGTTACACATGAAGAGATATGATGTAATTTCCCAAATGATGGTTCTAAAGTAGGTGTCAAGCTGAGAAAAGGTGGAGAATTTTTGAATTCAAGAAAAGAAAGACATTGCCCAAAAATCAGAACTCTATTTCGGTACAACGAGAAAGAGTTTACTATGGTCAATGCAGTGAGATTTGTGGAACTAATCATGCCTTTATGCCTATCATCTTAGAAGCTGTTCCTAGGAAAGATTATGGGTCTCGGGTATCCAACCAATTAATCCCACAAACCGGGGAAGCTTAAGCGGAAATGAAAGAGGAGGGTGAGGGAAGCCACTAAATTGAGGGCTTCGCTCGCTCGCTCTAACGCTCGTTTAGTAGACAGCGAGTGGAGTGCATAAGCCCCTTTAGAGATACGGGTGAGTACTACACGAGCTCGTAAGTAAAGTACAGAGCGAGCTTTGTCTACGAAGCAGAGCGACCTCATCTTGCTTGCTTCTGGCGAAGCTTCTAGCTCTAAATAATTGGAATTCTGGTATGGCAGGAATACTGTCGACCATTACGAGCGATAGCGAAGCCAAGCCATATAAAGGCGAGCATTCCTTATAGCAATAACAAACGGCCTATTTCAAGGACTCCTGAGTTGGTGATTTGTTACAAGGCAGCACATTACACATTAGCAGATGGATGCTATAAATTCCTCCGAAAAATCAGCGCTGTTGAGGGCAGCTGAACGAAAGGAAAGCGGGTAGGCCGCCTGGGTGAGACAAAACAGAATAATCTAACTGGAGGAGTGAAAGCCAGGATGGCTTGGTAAGCATCATTGGTTCATCAGAAGCCATCAAGCACGAAAGCAGCAAAGAGTGTGCTAGTGAGTCCCAAGCGAAGGAAAGAAGGACATGAGAGGCATAGAGAGGACTCAAGGACACGGAAAGCAATTAAGAAAATAAAAAGGAGCCTATTCATTGTTGCCGATATAGAGGCTGCTCTCCACGACGATGTTTATGTTCCTTGTGCAGTGGGGTTCTTAGTGGTTAAGCCGGGTGAAGATCCGAGAATAAAAGTGGTTCGTTTTGTTTCTATACGCAATTCAAGATTGCCTCGGCTTCTCCTTCCACCTTATTAAGCTTTGGACTTCCACCTTCACTGACCCGTGTGACGGGAATGAGTACCTATCCCTTACTGGAATCGAACCCGTGTCTTCGACATGAAAAGACGGGCCCTCGGCTATTGAGAGGACTCATATTGTCTTTCTTTTATTTACTGGAGTTTCTTGTTCCCGTGCCCCCTCGGTACCGAGACCCCCGGTAATCTCTTGCAGGGCGCACAAGGCTCAAAGCAGGCCAGGCGAGCTTCAAGCTTGGAAGATCAAGAAAAGCGAGAACGGGAACTCCTAGAGCGCCTAACCCGACTCTTACCTCCTCCTTGAGAAGAATGAGACATGGGAGATTGTTGATTTACCTCCTGGAAAGAAGACTGTGGGATCTAAATGTAAATGGGTATACACAGTGAAATTCCAGCCAAGTGGGGAGATTGAGAGATATAAAGCAAGTTGCTTCTATGTTCTTAGGAGCACTGGCCGCCATGGCCCAAACGAAAGTAAAAAGACTTCTAGCTCATGTAAGTTATATTCGTACTGATTTCTCATGTGGAACCATAGAAGGAATTCAATCACTACTAATTGGTATCTTACTTAAGCAATTCTGCTTATTCTTATTCTATCTTAGAAGAAATGGAACCCGAATTGGTACGGAAGTTGTAACATGGGAAAACCACGGAAAACACGACTTAATTGAATAACCCGGTGACCTACCAATTGTAGAAGTAGGATTTTTGGCAAGCAATAAGTACTGAATTCGTCAATTTGATGCGATAGAGGACTGGATGGGTTATCCAATTCGTCACTCAGTTGGTAGAGGTCAGAAAGGGTGGAGGAGGCCTCTCCAGCTGAGCTGGGCGTCGGGGCCCTGGATGCGCTAGCGATTGGCACATAGGAGAATGGTTAACTGTGCCCCGGAGATACTTTGAAATTGATTCTAAAAGAACCTATTTCACCAAGTAGTGCTAATTTCTCCCTTTTTATAGTATGGCTCCAGTGGCTACATTTATGTTAAGTCTTGTCTCTCTTATTGTGAGGCTTCCCTTCCCTTACTCTAGGGCTTTTCTTCTCTTCTTCTCTAAGGGCAGTGAAAGTCATATGATATAGGGCGTTTAAGAAGAGAGAATCGTTGGTTCCTTATAGTAATTTATTTATTTATCTTTTCTATCGTGACAACTCTAGTTCCATGCTCTTCCGTGCTCGTAGGTTGACTCACCTACCTAGCGCTCGGGAGGTTGTGCTCGACCGAAAGGGTAAGGGCAAAAATACTTGGATGGACGTATCATGGGGTGAAGGCACACTGTCATTACACGATGGGTAAGGTGCGGAGCTACACTCTAAAGACAGATTCATTAGATTCCGACCTTCCCGCTGCTCTGGGAGTTAGGTACAAGCTCTTTTTCCCCTTTCCTAACTGCAATTGTATGATCAAGATTAGATGTTTCAGGGTTAGTTTCACTTTCTTCATCTTGCTCAGGATCAGGTGAGAGCGCTGGAGGAAGGGGCTTCAGGTGGACTGATTTATTTGGAAGCAGTTCCCCTGGTAATTCCGAAACGATAAAGAATAAAGAAAGAAAGCTATGGGGAAAGATCCCCGCCTCCTCTTCAGACGTGTCCTCGACAACCTGGCATCTAAGCCTAAGTATTCCTCAATGACCGATAGCGTACAAGTATTTTGAGGGAAAGGTGAAAAGAACCCTATTTAGGGAATGCAATAAAGAACCTGACAGAAAAAGAATCACCTTGATACTAAACCAGATCGAGCCTGGGATCTTCTTGGAAATAGGAAGATCTAAGATAGGTGGCCAACCTCCTGGAGAGAGCGATGCAACCTCTCAATTGTCACCGCCTGGCCTCTCTTGCTACCACGGTAGCACCTAGTGTGGTTAGCACCAATCGTGTTCGGGCAACGAAAATTGGAAAGCTAAAAAGAAAGCCAGGGCGTCCGGTGGATGAAGTCTACCTTTGTAATGTCAGGCTGAAAAAGGGGAAGCCACAACTCTATTCCCGACTAGAAATCTATAAAGGACTTTAAGGGAGAGCTGCTCTCTCTATCTCAGCTGCTTTCCCTACTAGGGGCACAAGAGGCACTTTTTGTCTAAAGCCTACTTGCTCTCTATAGGCAATTCCTTTTTTTGTGGTTTGTGGAAATCTTTTACACCGATGTATCGTTCTCTCTCGACCAGGTCATCATAAGAAAATACTGAAAAATCTTTCCAAAGAGAAGGTATTAAACGTACTAGCAATGATTTTTGAGGAATTATTGATTCAAAACTTTCTATTGCTACACCCCTTTTCAACTATCTCAAATAGCCCCGGGGCACCATAGCATGTCGGGAAAAAGGGGGACATAGTGAACTTAACCACTCCCTTGGTTGGGGGCTGTGACTCCCTTATCCTTTCATTTTTTTGATTCCCAGGTCTTCATTGAGAAAGAGATTAAAAAGTTGATCCTGAAGATTCGCTTTTAACTCTAAAACTTTGATATCGAACAACTCATTATTTACCGCTGATAGAAATTCAATCGGAGTTCGGGTTTCATTTAAAAAGCTCGTCGCTCAACCACTGGATTCTACATTTCCTTCCTCCCCTCGCTCCATTTTGTTTCGCTCGTTTCCTCTTTCCTTCTGCGTGCAAAAAAAAGTTATGAGATTGGTTTTGTGTGCATTAGCGATCATCAAACCTGTGACATAGATAAGATTTACGTTCGTGCAGTTGGAATGAGTGGTCTTTAAGAGCCTGCTTTTGAGTCACCCGGTGAATTTACCAACCCTGTTCGACTTCATCGCTACGCTTGCAAGCACAATNTGCAAGCACAGCATCTGTCTCTTAGTCCTCTTTGGACAACCTTTAATCAGAGAAAGAAAACGTATATTCTATCAACCTTAGAGAGAATCTCTATTCTACACGGAAAAAGCGTATTCAACACGGACGGGCTCAGGGAAAACCCCTTATTCTTGAGAGATTCCCTCTCTATCTCTTTCGATCTATCAGAACAGATCAGGCTATCTATCAATCGATTTGAAAATAGCAGGCTCATCTCGCTTTTCGTTCATTTTCTCCACCAAAACATAGCCGCCATAATAAGAAGTAGGCGAAGCAGCTAGAAGTACTCGCTTCACGCCCTTGAATTATTATTCTTCTCATTTCGTAGTGCCGGTGCTGCTGTTGCCTGCGCGTAGGGCCGTCCCCCACTCCCGTCCCGGGGCTCTAAGGGGCTTTTGTTTTTGGAACAGACGGCAGTGTTTTGCTGACGCCTAAAATCAAGCTTTTTCTTTCAACAGAAATGGCCAACTGATACAAATTCTTAGCTTCAAACAGAATTTTGTTGAAGTCTTAGACCTAATAAGGCTAGCGACAATATCCTTAAATTTCTGTTGTCCGCGTACCTCTATTTCTCAGAGCTGGTATTGATGACTAAGTTTGTATTTAATCTTGAGATTCATCAACTGTACATTAATCTTAAGTTGACATAAAAGACTCCATTTGTTTCTCTTGATAGTATCTGCTTTCGCCAGCCATTATCCATAAATATTAATATATTTTTGAAGAATATTTTGGAAGACCACTGAGGATTTCATTTTCTATTGACTAGAAATCGACCTATAACAATGGGGGTAGATGTGATTGTATTGCATCCTTAATCCTCCTATCTTTTGCAATATCTATCTTGTTCTACATTGTTAAATATGAGGATGAGAAAGGTCCTCCCTTTACCAAATTAAAGAAGACAGAGAAACAACGATTTAGGACAGGGGCAAGAACCTGAATGTGCAATTATTGAGCAAAAACACTTTATTCTGAAGGATGGACATTTCGCCATTAAATACCTTGTATAGTTATGCTATAGTTTACGTCTTGTAGGTGGTGAACAGGATAAGTGAACAAATAGTAGAAGAACTTTATTTTGATCAGACACCTGACGCAGTTTCAAGAGGTATTTTTGGCTTATGTAGTGATGCCTCAGCTGGGTTGTTTTATGCATATGACCAAAATTCCATCTTCCAGGTGCGGTAATAGTCATTATCTGAATCTTGTGTGATGTGGTAGTACCCATTAAATTTCTGCTTCAGTTTCTGAAATCGACAAACTGAATTTAGGTGTCTGTAAATGATGAAGGCCGTGACATGTGGAAAGTGTACTTGGACTTAAAAGAATATGCTGCAGCTTTGGCTAATTGTCGTGATGCCCTGCAGAGAGACCAAGTTTATCTGGTTCAGGTCGCGGCTGATTTGGACTTATTCTTTTCCCCTGGGATATATGCTGCAATATTATCTCCTAAAATGTCATAAACAAAAGAAACTATATTGCTTGTGAGGCTGAATTTTTTCTTTTGGCTTTTTCATCATAGACCTAATGTTATGCAGGCTGAAGCTGCTTTTGCTGCCAAGGAGTTCCTCAGAGCTGCATCATTCTATGCAAAAGTAATTATTCTACTTATTTGTTTTTCCTTCATTTTGTGTTCTTTGTCATTTTCCACTTTAAATGCTTTTCAAATCTTTCAGTTTCCATTTATGCTCTGTTCTTTGTTTTGTTTTTTGTACTTTGCTAAAATTGATCCTTGTTTTCCAATTATTAATTTCCTTGCGACCAGCAAAAGGGATATTTCCACAAACTGCTGTAGCAATCAATGTCGATGTCTACTCTGTTTTACAAAGACCACTGGAAATTTCTTCCTGATAAATAAAAATACTTTCTTCAATAATACCCCGAGGGAAAACCAATAATCCCTCCTTAAGAAGGTCAGCTACAGATAATCCCTAAAATTTTCATTAGTATCAATTTGATTATCATCTTGAGTATTTCCTCGTAAAAACTAATGTTCTCTGCATAAAACTTCTGTCCCTAACATTTTCAATACTATATCAATTTGATTATCGTCTTGAATATATCCTTGTAAATGTATTGATTATCATCTTGAGTATTTCCTCGTAAAAACTAATGTTCTCTGCATAAAACTTCTGTCCCTAACATTTTCAATACTATATCAATTTGATTATCGTCTTGAATATATCCTTGTAAATGTATTGATTATCATCTTGAATATTTCCGCGTAAAAAGCATGTTTTCAGCATTAAAATTGTTTCCTTTGGCGTATTTATTGCTTGAGGAAGAATGACATAAACGGTGTTGAGGCAGCTTCCCTTTTATGTCCCTTTCTTCTCTTTTCTTTTACTATGTTTGACATAGTAGGCTTGCTAGTAATCCGTATTTATTCCTAGAACTGGAGCCCTTTCTAATGCAAGGAAATGATTGTTGCAGATTAACTATGTGTTATCATTTGAAGAGATCTCATTGAAGTTCATTAGCATAAGTGAACAGGTATGACTATTCTATCCGAGAACACTGATTTATGGTGATGCAAGAATAAATTTTTTTTCACTTATTGGCAAAAAACAACAACAACATACCCAGTATTATCCCACATCGTGGGGGTCTGGGGAGGGTAGTGTGTACGCAGACCTTACCCCTACCTTGTGAAGGTAGAGAGGCTGTTTCCAATAGACCCTCGGCTCAGAAACATAAGCACCACATTAATTAAAAAGATAGACAATGAGGGACAACACCAAAAAGCCATGTAAAAGTAGCATAGAAACAACACGATAATAAGATAATCAAAATGAAAGAAAATGACGGGTATTCATAGAAACCTACTACCAACAGAATGCGAGAGTGCGTACTAATCCTATTGGTATGAACAATCTACCACCTATCCTACTACCCTAATCCTCGACCTCCACACCTTCCTATCAAGGGTCATGTCCTCGGTTAGCTGAAGTTGCGTCATGTCTTGCCTAATCACCACTCCCCACTTCTTCTTCGGCTTACCTTTACCTCTCCGTTGGCCCTCTAATGTCAACTTCTCACACCTCCTCATCGGGGCATCTGTGCTCCTCATTTTCACATGTCCAAACCAGTGTTGTCAAAGGCGCGCTTAAATCGCGCTTAAGCCCTGAAGCAAGGCTCAAAACATGTTGAGCGCTTCGCTTCGCTTTGTGGGCGCTTCAGTGTCGCATCAAGGCTCTAAGACATACTTTTCCTTGTCAATGAGTGTAATCCTGAAAAGGTGACATTAAGCAATTGATATTTCACTATTCATAATTTTTTTTTAAATTTCTTTGTCCATATATTTGTTATTCATGCTTATAATTATTGGTCTTAGACTACATATACAAATTTTTACTTTTTCTCCAGTTGCGCCTTTTTTCTTTAAAGCCCACGCTTTATTTGCGCTTAGTGCTTAAAGCCCCAACGGACCTTAGAGCTTTTTTACGCTTTTCGCTTTTGATAACACTGGTCCAAACCACCTAAGCCTCGCTTTCCGCATCTTGTCCTCAATGGGGGCCACACCCACCTTGTCGCGAATAACCTCATTCCTGATCCTATCTAACCTGGTGTGCCCGCACTTCTATCTCAACATCCTCATCTCTGCTACCTTCATTTTCTGGATATGGGCAATCTTGGCAGGCCAATACTCAGCCCCATATAACATAGTCGGTCTGACCACCACTCTGTAGAACTTACTTTTAAGTTTTGGTGGCACCTTCTTGTCACATAAAAACACCAGAAGCGAGTCTCCATTTCATCTATCCCGCCCCAATACGATGTGTGACATCTTCATCAATCTCCCCATCCCCCTGAATAATAGACCCAAGGTACTTAAAACTACCTCTACTAGGGATGACTTGCGAGTCCAGCCTCACCTCCCTTTCCCCTCCCTGAGTCTCACAACTGAACTTACACTCCAAGTATTCTGTTTTGGTCCTACTCAGCTTGAAACCTTTTAGACTCCAGGGTCTGCCTCCACACCTCTAACCTCGCGTTCACACCGCCTCGCGTCTCGTCAATCAATACAATATCATCTGCAAATAAGAGGTTAAATTTATCTGAATTTGACTGATCTTGCTCATTTGAAGCAATGATCTGTAGTAGTAACTACACTCATATCTATAAAGGAATATTACTTTCCCCACTGTTCCATTTTCAAGACTCAGGTTTTTAGTCTGTAGAAACTTCTTAGAACTTTCATATTTCACATTTGGAGTCCGTTGCAGCGACTCATTTTAGGTTACTGCATTTAGTGTTGAGTTACTTATATGAAATTATTGCTTCTGAAACCCAGACATAGCATACCGAATTTTTATTGGTCTGTCAACTGTTAAAATACTAAACATATTGATAAACATGTTTATTTTTGATAAGGTAATAAATATTATTGAGTGAAGGGCGAATTGAAAACACCTGTATACAAGAGGTATACCCATGTTTATTTTACACAGTCTACACCAGGACTTGACTCTTGAGTGATGCTGTTGCTTTTGTCTGCTGATTATAGAATAGATATTCCAGTATTCTTTTTGGAACTTCTTTGTACTGATGTGCTGTACCATCTTAGTGCTGGTTGTTAATGAAACTTTTTATTGTTTACTGATTAGAAAAAATTCTAGTAGTTTAGAACCATTGAAATTTAATTTCTCGTAATTGTCTTCTTGCTTAGTAGTCCTATGTATGTCATACTATGAAGCAATTTTTCTTTATGAAGATAATGACACTATCTTTGCGTATATATGCCATCCTCTTTTTACAACAAATCTCTAGTTTCATCTTAGTTCTGATCCTTATTGCTGTCTTCATATCCAGCCACTATTAAATTTTCCTCATGTTATAATGAGAGGTATTTCTTGGTCTATGGCTGATTTTTTTTTTTTTTCAGTTTCTGACTTGTAATATCTGCAACTTTGAAAAGAAAAACAGCCGCAAATAATAGAATTACTTGGAAATTTCCAGGATATGACACCCTTTGCTTGCAGGATGCATTGAGAACATTTCTCCTGCGGAAGCTTGATAATCTTTCAAAGGATGAAAAGTGCCAAATAACAATGATTTCCACATGGGCAACTGAATTATATCTTGATAAGGTTCATCTCTTTTTGAACTGAGTTTGTTTGATTAAAGTTTGTTATTTTTCTTTTCCCTGGTTTCACCAACTGTAAATATGTTCTGAATGCTAGCCTTATAAATATCTCTGTTTCCAGTTCCTATTATGTGTGGATGATAGGTCTCCTGGATCATCCAATGTACAACATGTCTTTGCCACCCGTACTGGTGTCTGGCACAGAGGTTGGAGAAAGTACTAAGTAATATTCTATAGGGCATGGGAAGGTAAAAGAGTACCATCTTATTAATTGGAAAACAGTGACCTTCCTAATAAGGAAGGTTTAGTGGTTAGGAACTTGAGGGTATTTAGTAGAGCCATACTAAGAACATGAATTTGGAAGTTCTTTGAAGGATCAAGCGTTGCGGTCATTGTTTAAAAGATGGAGCCCAAATTGGGATAGAGAACCAATCAATGATGCATCCACATGGAAAGCTCTATGAAGGAGTATAATGAAAGGCAAAGTAGGAACTGGTCTGCTTCTGGAAGCAGAAATGGTCTGTGAGGATATGAGAAAGATTGGAAGAATGCTCAAGACAACTGTCTTATGCTTGAAGTCTGTTATGGACACACTTTACCATGTATGTTGTGCTTCTAATCAGATGTAGGACACTAGTCTTTACGTTAATCCATTTTTACATATTTAACTAAGGCTAACTTTCTAACAAACTGTATGTTGATAAAAAACAACTGTATGTACCCAATGGAACATTGATTAGTATACAGGATTCTACTGTGACCTTGCTACTGCCTGTGAGAAGTGTGTACTTTATTCGACAGAATGAGTTAATGGACTGGATAAATCGTATCTCTTGCGAGCTCTCTCTGATGATTCACGGGTTCCCTATTTGATCTTGTAAGGAGAAGGACATTAACATTCCCTTTGCACTTTCCTTGGTTACCCATAGGTCCTTGTGCCGGTGAAAGGCATCAGATTGGAAAGCTCAAAATTGCATTGCCAGTGGAGTGTTTCATGATTGAATTAGCAGTAACAGTTCCAGCTCAGTTGGCCTGGTTTGGCCCAACCCGGTGGGTTCTGGTTTGGACCGTGAAAATGTAAAACAAACGTTGGTTAAAGTCAGATTGTGGGTGGTGACACTTTAGTGTACCCCCTATAGTGCTTAGGCATGCGTCTCATCACCCATGAGCTCTCTCTTTATAAGAGCAGTACTAGACACCAAAAGTAGTTGGTAAGCTGATAATATATTGTTAAAAGACGTTCTGAATGAAGGTCTAGTGATCAGGTATAGGAAATAAAATATTTACTAGAGTCATCTCCAAGCGGAGGGGGAGTCTTATTTATTTGCTCTTTCTTTATGGTGCAAACACATACCCGGATCAGCCTGGTTCTTCTCATTCCCCCCGGACGGGGCCTACTCCCCATCCTCACCATTCTCTTATCATTCAAGAAAAGATCTCGCAGGATCCAATTTTTTCTGCTGTAGTGACTTAAGAGCAAAAACAATGGGAAGACCTTATTTCGTCCCAGGAGTGGTGGTTAACAGATTGCCATTTCACAAGAAAACTATTTTTTGAAAACTTAAAATTACATCTTTTCATATAAATGAAAATTTTAAGATGGGTTTTAAACCTGATTGGTAAGTTTTACTTGGAAAAAGGCACAAGTACACCCCTCAAACTTGTCCCAGACAGTTATACACCTAAACTTTGTGAGCGGCCTAATTCCCCTCTTCTTGTTCAAAGTGGAACTGTGAGAAAGCACGGGAGAAAATATATTATTGATATTAGATGATAAATACAATACAAGAGGTCCTTATTTATAGCTATATACTACAAGGAAAAATTTCTCCTCTTCCAATGTGGGACAAGACTACATTATACATATCTATAAACTAACACTCCCCCTCAAGCCGGTGCATACACATCATATGTACCGAGC